ATGAATTTTTGGTCAATCAAGTTTTAAACTTTCTGAAAATGTTCTCTTGTCGATGATATTTGTTCGGTGGAAAATCCTACGCCATTCAGTTTTCATGAAATGAGCTAAAATCTAGGCGATAATTTTTCATAAATTTTGCCAATCATCAAGTTGCAAACATGATTACTAAATAAATTAGACGATCCAAGCTTGACAAATCGATTTTGCATTTTAAATCGGACTCGACCTTTCTAAAATTTTACATGATAACTTCAATTTTGTCGAGTCTCTTAATTACAAGATTTCTGTGTTTATTCGGTAAGCATAATAAAGAAAAATGGATAAATTCCTGCGAAATCAAAGATTCATTTTTCATGTCGCTGGCCACGTGCCCGGGACTTGATTGAACAATTGTGAAAAGTCTTGACATTCGATCAATTAAAACCGTGGATTCACGTCAATTTCACTTTCCTCTTCTGCGAAACTCCCTCGAAGATGAACTCCCTTTAACAAATCCGCGTTGGAGCTTAAACAACGTATGAACCACGCGTAGACTTTTCAGCGACTTCTTGTGCTTAACGAGGGTTTCTCCAATCTTTCGAAAACTGTCTCTCGAGAAATTAGTAACTTCTAGAAATTACACCAAAATAGATCTTAGCCGTCAAATATAATGAATGACTCGCTCATTATTTATGATGATATGTTACGCAACCTTGTGTTCCATTGACCCAATCAAGCAGGGGCTTTATCTTAAGTCTAAACCATGAACTCCTACACTTTCTATCATTAATTTTTTCCCCGAATCTCTTTGACCACAAAGACTTTAGGAAAAGAAGAGTAGCTCCACCTCCTGAAGTGTCAGGTGTCAACCTACCAATGCGTTCAATGGACCGACATCCGCGTTACACTGAACCCAAACCGATAACATCCACGTGAGATTTCACATGGGACCCATCACTTTCAATAGATCAGATTCAATGTATTACATATACTACACTTGTTTAATAATTTTCATTCATCCATGTGATAAAACTCAAAAGAAATACAAGATACGATGAAAAGAATAGTTAACTTCGGTGAATCTATAACATCTTTTCTTTGTTAACAGAGTCTAAATTTTTTTTGGTCAATCGAGTTTTAAACTTTTTAAAAATGTTCTCTTGTCGATGATATTTGTTCGGCTGAAAATCCTACGCCATGCATTTTTCATCAAATGAACTAAAATCTTGGCAATAATTTCTTCATGAATTTTGTCAATCATCGAGTTGCAAACTTGGTTACTAAATAAATTAGACGATCTGAGCTTAAGGAATTGATTTAGCATTTTAAATCGGCCTCGACATTTCTAAATTTTACATGAAAACTTCAATTTCGCCTAGTCTCTTAATTACAAGATTTATGTGTTTATTCAGTAAGCATAATAAAACAAAGGATTCAACTAGCATGACCGTCCTCCGTAAAATGACGGAGTGACGGTCAATTGTCAACCACAAGACCTTTTTGAGGAAACCGTAAGCTTCCTCAACCGGTTTCATTTTGAATGGTGGTGCATTTGCTCCCCCTAAAGTTCCTGTTCCATTTGAATTTCCAGCTCCGCCTGAAGTTCCTGCCACTCCTGAAGTCCCTGCTTCGCCTGTTGGTTCTATTTCACTCACACATCGTGTTCTATCAGAAGGTCTTGTTCCTGTTGCTCTTCTCATCCTGAACTACTCAGCACAACGATCATCCATCACTATAGATGACCAACGTTATTAACCAACTCATAAGTAACAAATGTTACTAAAGCCCGTTAGTAACGCTACCACATCACACAAGTAATGGGCACGTCACTTATTCTCCTAGCTCACAACAACAAGCACACACATATATAGCACTTTAAATCGCACGCGCTTATCCTAACTACTCCACTAGCGCACTTTATCACTCCAGGGTAAACCTATGCTCTGATACCAATCAAAGCGAGGCTGTGACATCCTAGGCCGTCACCACTAACAACAAAGGGTCTATTAATCCATGTACGCATGCGGAAGCTATTAATATTTACGAAACAAGTATGTAAAGCTTCTTCTACTGAGAAACATACACAAGCGCACATTGGAGAATACATTTATATACATGTGCATAAAGTTTAGAGTCAAGGTACATGCAAGCTACTGTACAAATATACAAACCAAAAGAAAGTCACTCCTGGGAGGTTAGGTCCACTTCTCCACCTACACATCAACCCCCCACATGCTCCCGTGCTCTAACACTTAGACGACCCTATCCAAAAAGATCGGTCACTTGGGTCGTGCAACCTCAACAAAAAAGTCTTTCTTCATCTCCTCCTCCTACTCGTCGTACTACTCCTCCATATCAGGATCACTGTCCGACGTTGAGTCGGAATCCAGGTAAGGTAGCGGTCCCAACAGCTGTCCCTAGCAGTAGATATATAACGCAACAAAACGGTATGATTCTGGCACTGGCGCAAAGCCTACGTCAACCCAAAGCGTGGACACAAACTTCGCAAAAATAACGTTCGGGAACTCAGGAAATGTCACGTCCTCCCAATGGTAAGTAAAATCAACAGGGGCTCCATAACGAGCATCATAGGTAGCGGGAGGAACGGAAGGCTTACTTACTAATCTGAAAAGATAAATAACCACGGGAGTAAGCATAAAGCTTAGCAAATAGATATCTAAAACATCGACAACAAAAATTATCAAATCACTGCAAAACGTAAACATCATTTTATGAATGAAATGATGCCAATGCAATGAATGGGCTCCATGCATGTTGTATGCAAGTTATTATTTCAGTTCTCTCACCAAAGATCTAACCCCGTACCACGGTTACATCGGCATGCAGACCGACCCGTGCAGGTAACTTCCAGCACGCAGACCGGAGGCATCTCAACTCACGAGGCATCGTCGGCGCGTAGACCAACAGCATCCAAGCCTTCCACACTTGGGCATCCCGATACTCCCGCGGGGCATCATTGGTGCGCAGACCGATAGTCCTCACCATTCATTTTCATATGATGCACATGAAGTAATGCATATAAGGCATCATTAGGGATCCCCCATCTGACGATCCTCACCATCCATTATCACACAATGATGATATGATGAGTGCAAATGAATCACAAACTGAAGATCAGTAACAGTCTCATCACACATCATCTCGACATCCAAATATCACCAAATCGACCAGAAAATCAAACGAACAAAGGAGAAATTGCATCATCCAACATGCGCACAACCTTTGCACTTGTCATTTGAGCCATCCAAGCTTGTTTTCAACGATCCGTCACTACCATGCAATAACCCGACACCCGTACGTCCTCGGGAAACCAAACAATAAACAAACATAAAAAAAAGTTACATCATCCAACTTACGCACAACCTTCGCACTTCTCGTTCGAGCCATCCAAACTCATTTTCAACGATCCGTCACCATCACGCGATAACCCAACACTCGTACGTCCTCAGGAAACCAAAAAGTCGAAGACTTTCCGAACTTTTCGACGCGAAACCCAAAATCCATCATAAAAGAGCAAAAACCATTCATCTTGGGCGAAAAGACGAACGCGAAGTCGAGGAATTAGAATCTACTTGCCTCAAGGATGATCTTGTCGAAGAATCGTAGGAAGTCGAGCCAATTTTCCTCTTGCGCGGCCACGAACCGTCCAAAATGAAGAAGAAAGAAGAAGAAGAAGAGAAGAAGAGAAGATGAAGAGAATGAAGAGAGAAAAGAGAGGCCTCTTGATAGAAAGAGGAATTTCGGGTAGAATATTCCTTGAATATTTTGATTATTTTTTTTTGAAATAATTTTTTTTTCGAAATAATTTTTTTTGTGGTCCCAAATCTCTTGTTATCTCGCTTAATCCGCAGCTATCAATCTAGCTAAGATTTTTTTTTCTGCGCCAATATGGAATGACACCAAAAAAATCAGGATGTCACAAAAATTAAGGCTAGTAATATCAATTATGCATAAAACAAATGAAGTAAGGAAAAGATCAAAATAAGAATAATGAATTACTAGAGCAAAAAATCTACCCCATTGATCCAAATCTCTTAGATGAAAATGTGTTGGGACCTAAAACATTATGAAATCAATCTTAGGATTACATGAGTCAAAGCTAAAGTTCAGAAAATTATTTTTGATCGATTTGTACACAAATTTTACCTTATATAGCTTTAACGTTTGGTTTATTGAGAAGATTCACACTACCATGAGGCACGTGACCCTATATCATTTCATATGGATAAAAAGTCAATTTATAGTAAGGTATTTTATTTCAAAACAAAATAATAATAAGTTGAAAACCCTCGACTCTTTCTTGATTGCAAATCAGATTTTGAGAATAGCTATTGTGCCTCATCTCGTCCGAATTCCCTATTGGATGAAAATCAATTAAATTCTTTGTACTCTCGTCTCAGCAGATTGTATGCGTTGATTTAACTAGTAGACGCTATGGCATATATTTCCAAAGAATTCAATTTGTTTCTTATGATTTTGTCTCTCACTTTAAGCTTGCAGTAAAGAATTACAAAAGTTTCAAAAAAAGAAAAAAGAAAAAAGGATACATAGAGTGAAAATTTGAAACCGGTTGAGGAAGTTTACCGGTTTTATCAAAAAGTTCCCGTGGCTAACAATTGACCGTCACTCCGTCATTTTACGGAGGACGGTTATCTCAGCATTTTCCTTAAAAAAAATGGAAAACTTCCACCAAAATCAAAGATTCATTTTTCATGTCGCCGGGGCAACGTCACCGGGACTTGAATGAACAATTGTGAAAAAGTCTTGACATTCGACCAATTGAAACTGTGGATTGAAGCACGTCAATTTCAATCTCCCCTTCCACGCAACTTCCTCGAAGATGAGCTCCCATTAACAAAGCCGCGTTGGAGCTCAATAAATAACGTATGGACCTCGCATATGCAAGTCAGGCAGTGCTCTCACGAGAGACGTACTTGGATCCCAGAATAAGCTTCAATTCGATTTCCTCCTCTCCCCACCCACCCCCCGAAGAGATGAGATCCTTCCCGAATGATTCCGAGGAGCTCGATCAAGTCTGGCCAAGTGTGTTGGAAAATCTCGCCGGTTCAGGGAGCTCCTTCCTAAATGGTTTCGACAAGTCCAATGGAGACCCCTTCAGCGTGTTCCAGAAAACCAATGAAGACCCATTCCGTCAATTCAAAAATATCACAGATCGGGCCATGGCTGCCTCCCTTAGTAAGTCGGAATATGAAGCTGTATATGAAGTTCACCACTTTGAGATTATGATCAAACTTTTAATGACGCTATCTTTGCAACCTGTTTTCAGTTTCTGGTGTGGTGGTAACTGCAGCAATCGTCGTCGTTGTGTACTTCCTCATCGATTGCTTGAAGAAGGTGGGAACCGCCATCCCAAGCTATACCGGGAAAGCTACCAATGAGTTGTTGGATCCAAAAGATTCTAGGTCATCGAGGTTAATCTCCTTTGTGGCACCAGCTATCTCACCACGGCTCAATTGGGAGAAGCCCGATGAGTTCAGTACCCTGGAGAGATTCCTAAAGCCCACATGGTTTTCTTCGGAGCAGCTGGCTGTTTACACCAGAGATTATGCCACCATGCTTGGTTCCGGCTCTTACGGAGTTGTCCTCAAAGGCCAGTTGCCGGATGGAACTCTGGTGGCCGTCAAGGTGCTCAAGAACGCCGACGACAAGAGGATGGAGGAGCTGTTCATGGCAGAGGTGAGCGCCATTGGAAGAACTCACCACATAAACCTGGTCAAGCTCTACGGCTATTGCTTCGACCCGACGATGAGGGCGCTAGTCTATGAGTACATGGAAAATGGGTCCCTCGACGGATTCCTGTCTGGGGAGAAGGCGGCGATAGATTGGCGCAAGATGCACGAGATTGCCGTGGGGACAGCAAAGGGGATCGCCTACTTGCATGAGGAATGCGAGCAGAGGATCGTTCACTACGACATAAAGCCTGGGAACATCCTCCTGGACCGGAACTTGAGCCCAAAGGTCGCGGACTTTGGGCTCGCCAAGCTCTACAGCAGGGAAATCAGTCGGATCCCCATGTCGGGTTTCCGTGGCACCCACGGGTACGCCGCACCTGAGATGTCGAAGCCGTATTCAGTGACTTACAAGTGCGACGTGTACAGCTTCGGTATGGTCCTGTTTGACATTGTGGGGAGGAGGATAAATCACAACGTGAACCTGAGTGAGTCAATGCCGGGGCTACCGCAGTGCACGTGGCACATGTTACAGAATGGCAAGTTGTTGGAGATGGTCTGCGGATTTCCTGAGAGTGAAAGAGAGACCGCTGTGAGGATGTTGATGGTGGCTTTGTTGTGCATTCAGCATAAGCCAGAGGCGAGGCCGGCAATGAGCACAGTGGTGAAGATGTTGGAAGGAGATGTGGGAATTCCGACACCCGAATATCCATTCGAGAATCCCGATCCAGATAAGCCTTCTCAAGGTTCGGGAAATGGAAGCGAATGGGACTCGGACTCATCTGCTTTGAGAACCAGGTATTCTGGAGGTTGCTGCTCCGAGCCTGTGAAGCCAACTGCAGAAATAAAGCTAGCTAGCAGCTAATATTACTAATATACCAGGCACAAAGATTCCTAAATTTTCATTCATGGATATACTGTACTAGTACCTAAAGATTTTGTCTTTTTATCTAGTGTCCTTTTGCAGTGCGATATCATAATACTACAGAATGCAAGACGATTGCTCCTCCGATCCCATGCCCACATATGCCTTCGGACAAATCTGTAATCGTATTCCTGGTGTGTAAGTTGGGGATTCGATCTGAATTTTACATTATATTGATCAAAACGACTCACATGATCAAAAAGTATGTTGTAATGTGGAGACTTGACTCTTTTTTAACCTAGAAACGGGGAAAAAGGAGTTTGTCAATGAGAATTCCTGTTTCATTAGAATAGCATTTGAAAATATCAGAACGAGCTCGCACTCATTATGTAATGATTCAATCAGATCATATACTCAAAGAACAATTCGCGACCATTGTGATTCATCAATGCTCACTTCGCAAATCAATATCGAGAGTTATCAATTTACTGTATTTATGAGTGAGAGATTGATTCTGGGGGATATATGCGCCTGCTCCACCTCGCCACATTCCGAACATATGTCGCTAATAAGCATCGAGGAAATACCTTCTGCGCCATTGCCAACACCGAATCCTCCGTCCACAGAAATGAAGGCGGCAGGGCCCTACGCTCAAATCAAACAAACAAAAGCACAGACCAGGTTTTGCTTTTTCTCTACAGTCATGCATACTTACTAAGCAGTTCTTGCTGGGGCAGAGTATAATCTTTATATATCAATCTGCTTAAAAATTGCAAACACGAATCGATAAATCCTCAATCCAAAAGCTCATGAACTCCATATTCTCATATTCCTCGTAAATGCTAAGAGTTCATGTGATAATTCTAATCTTGCAGCCGTGTGTCAAATGAATGAGCCAAAAAGAGGATGCATGTGGTTGGACTCATGAGTTCGAGATCCTCAATGAACAAATACAAATTACCAATTTCTGAAATAATGACTTCTTTCCTTTCCCACCCACCCAAGAACTCTCAGCTACAATCTAACTGTAATCCTGCAATATTTAGATAATATAAGAAAACTACCAAAACTATAAGAGTAAGATTAAGGACATGCACTTGGGACATAAGAGACGCAAAAACTCAAGAACCTTGATGTAAATAGCCAAAAATTGCAAAGTAAGTTACAATAAGAATGACTGGGCGATCTCCAATACTCAAGCACTACATCCTCAAAAGCAGCAAGAACAGTCAAATGGACAAAGCGGCGTGCCACTGGCGTCTGCCTTGTTGATACCCAACTCCTCTCCTATGTGTAGATGGTGAGCCCATCCGCTGTTTTCTTTCTACGACAAGAAGGCCGGCCGCCTAATGCACTCTCTGTTAACCCTTTATCCTTCTTCTTTTTCTTCTTCTTCTCGGTTTTTCCACTGCCATTTTCAGCTGGCTCCTCGGCATCCCCTTTTTTGGCTTTTCTTCCTCTTTTTCGACGCAAAAATGTCGTCGATCTCTTCATTGGATTTTCTTCGTAGCTGGAAAAGCTTTCTCCTCCAGCATGCAGTACACACCTAATCACCCAATATGGATAAGGCGCAATGACTGATTATCGAGGTAGTGGTATTTAGACGTAATGGGTTTTAGGCCTCTCTTTCAAACGAGGGTTTAAGGTGACAAATGGGCCGGGAATGGCCCATTTGTGGAGCGGACCGTACTTGGGCCTGGGCCCAATATAGCCCTTAGTAGGTCGGGCTATGTCGTGCCCGGGTTGGCCCGTTTGTTATCTCTAACATGGGTTTCAAGAGCTTGCAAGGGAATTACTTTATGAAATGGGAGTGCCCCCTATAGCATATTGGTACCTTATAGAGGTGGGCGAAAGAGGTGTTTGGGTTATTTTTCTTGAAAAAGAGCATGCACTTTACATGTAAGAGAAATAGTGAAAAAACTAAATTATCATGGAGTTAAATAACATGTAAAGGTTTTGGTTCTTTTTTGTTCACGTTATTTTCACACACTAAATGGTTATAACCCTCCCAAACTTACGGAGTGGACGAAAATAATTTCAAACAAATGAATCAATCCAAAATCATAAATGGAAGAGTGAAAGTTGCTATCTATTGAAAATGCAAAAACTGAAAATTATCTTGAAAATACAAGAATGTCCGTATTAATCAAAGTAATGATGTTTTATTCCATCACTTTATGATATTTTCCATTAGTTTGTTTATATATTTCATTTCATCTTGTACTTGCTAATATGCGCAAGCTGATTTCTATTAAGGATTTTTTCTTATAAGTTTGAATATGTTGATAATCTTTATTAATTAACATATCTTAAATAAATATTATAGTCATAGAGAGTTCACAACCTTAACCGTAGAATTCCCTTTAAAAAGCTTGAACTAAAAATTGTATATTTTTAGGGTTATTAGAGATTAAACTTTGTAGAGGCATTGTAAATAAATATACTTCATTAATATCTTTTAAATTAGAATCCCTATCATTAAATTTTTTAAAATGCTCGAATCTTAGATTATTCTTGTAAAGAAGTAATGACCATGCAAATTTCTCCGATTCGAATACAAAAGAAAAAGAAAAGACGGTTTAGGAAAAAATTGATAAAATCATTAGATTGATTGATCTACATTAAAGGCATATTTTTCCTCTTCATCAATCTTGCCATTAATAAGATCCCAATCAAGGCTATTTTAGAACATTTAAATTATGTGAGCCTTTATTTGAGGGGAGAAAATAGCGTGAGCCTTTATTTTTTTACTATAATCTCAATCGTCATTCAGAGAATTGTAATACTTAAACAATTAGTTTGAGTTTATATTTAGAAGGTACGAAATTCATTGATTTTATAATTTTGTGCAGTCATAGGTATTTTAAAAATATGCATCGGTTGTTCATGAAATTTTTTTTTATAAAACTTGGAGGTTAAATGATCATTGGGTTTGCTTAATTCATTATATATATAAGATTGTACTTACAAATCATTTTCTCAAGTAAAAAAGCTTTTTGCAAGTCATTAAATTCAATAATGTCAGTGAACTTATAATTGATTATCAATTTGCCTCCACTAGAGGAAGTCCTGGATCCATCCATAGCTGAGGAGGGAAAAATTGTTGGTTAACTTGCCACAGTGAGCAACAAGCGTCGTACTCATAATGAGAAAAGGTAAAATCTATTTCTCAACAAAATCATTTTTCAATTTGCAATATAAATATAGTTTTGAAATAAGTAACTCGTCTGATCACAAGGGGAATATATGAATGACATTTAAATCAATGATCACCATCGACATTAAATTAGAGAAAAGAATAACTAACATTTTTTTACTTGAGGGAAGATTTTTTTTAAAAAAGATATGATCATGACAAGATAAGAAATGAGAAAAGAGCTGTGATTGAAAAGGTAAAGTAAACTATTATCTTTATTTCGGTAAAGAATTAACATATGAGAGTTATAGTCAAAATGAGGAACCAATGTCCAAAGAGTTGAACAAAAATTACAATAGAAGTTTGTAAATAATTGATCGATCACATTCTAGAAAGTAATATTAATTGATGTGTAAAACGGAAAATGGAGAATTATTGTTCAAGAAATAGGAAAATCAAAACCCCAAAAAAAAAGTTAGAACAAAAAATGAATTTTTTACTAAGACTTCAAAAATATAATCAAATTTTATGGGGAAATAAAAGATAAAATTCAGCTTGACATGAAAAATGGAGTTCGAAAATGACTGGAAAATATTAAAGGTAAGGACGGTTTTATAAAATTGGCATGTTAAGTTTGAGAACTCAGTTAACAAACTTATGAGTAAAGATGACACGATCTATTCTAACTTGCAATGCAATTAAATTGAAATATTGCCTGTTGTAAATCGAAATTTCAAAATTCTCAAAAGTTATAGGCATAGTCTAAATTAGTCAGCATCTTCTACAAAATGATATTATATATTTCACATATGCATGCACGGGAAAATTATCAAAAAAATCTTAAACATATTGTACGGATGTTAATTCAATCTTAAACTTTTTAATTTGGTCAATTTAGTTATAAACTTTTTTACAATTTGCCAATGTAGAACTTCTGGCCAATTTCGAGCGGAAATCTGTTTGCAAAATTCTAAATGCAAATGAGTGGGTCAATGAACATGTTGAACAAGTAATATATGATGATAAAAGTATTGTCCCACAGATATTGATAATTGATAAACCTATTAATCATTAAAAATGGATTAATTCTATAATTTATCTAACATATCAAACTAAAATTGAGAATAAATGAAAATTGACAATCTTAGAAACGAAAAATTTCATACTAAAGGCAGTTAATCAATCAAATAAATAAATCAAATAAATATGTTAGAGCATTTGATTTAAACATAACCACTAGATATGAATTTCATATCATTATGAATACAAGAACAATATCAAACGTGTGATATCGGAATTTCCTTATCTATTTACTATCATATCTCTAGATATAACAAATCTATTCAGTTTATCAATCCACCATATCTCTATGTGAATTTAAATAAACATAAGTGCATTGAAATTTGTGAAAATTCCCAATTTACAATAAATCTTTTGGACTACCTTATCACCAAAAGTCACACAAATAACATTGTGATATCCTGAAAATTTGACCAAATTTGGTGATTTATGAAATGGTGATTTCATCGACGCTCTACTAGTTAATTCTCGCTCTGGCCTGATCACCAATTATTTGCTAAATTACCCTTCTAGAAACATTTGTGTTAGATTTGATCTTGGCCGTCGGATTGAACTTGGAGAGCAAGGCTTCATCTTGGCCATTGGATTAAACTTGGGGAGCAAGAACACATCCTAGCCCTTGATCTTGACTTGGGCATCAAGAACAAATCCCAACCATTGATCTTGATTTAAATTTAAACCCTATTTCTCTCTCTCCTCACTTTCTCTCTTATTCTCTCTCTCTCCCTCTCTCTCGGCCGAATCACCCCACCCCCGCCGTGCACCCACCAGCCCCTCACGCCACCATCCTTGAGCCCCGTAGATCGCCGTGTGCCGTTCACCGCCGTCTGTCGCTTGCCGTGTCAAGCCGAGGCCGCCATAGACAACTCGTGTCGTTGCCGTGTCCTCGCGTTGTCGTCGTCCTCGCGTTGTACTCGTTTTTAGACGAGTAAGTTAACATCTAATCCCTTGTTTAGGATGTTTAACTTGCATTGGGTAGTTTGGCTAGTTAATGTTTTAGCGTGTTTGAACTTCTAGAATGAGCATTGGCGAGTCTTGATTGCTAGACTAAGTTGAAATAGATGTTGAATGTTGATTTGAACTCTTGGTGTGGTATTTTCATGGCTGAGAAGTGGTGGATCTCAAAGTTGAAGGTGTTTCTTGGAGTTTTTATTTTGATTTCG